GTACATGCTTACTGTTAAAGCAGAGTAGGCACCTACTTTCTCCACATTGCAGGTGCCTACTCTGCTAAAATTTACCCGGCCAAGGCTCGGAGAGGTCGCTGGAGGAGCTCAGTCTTCCTGCTCCTCACTGCTCCCTTGCGCGCTGTCTGTAGTGATGCCGGGTGCCGGAATATAATGTCATATTCCGGCCCTCGGCATCACTAAACTGTACATGAGGGAGCAGTGAGCAGCAGGAAGGAGATCTCCATATAGAAGATCCCCACTGGACCCCAGGGATAAATACAATGATGTGAGTGTGTACAAGAATGTGTAAATGTGTGAGTGTGTGTCTGTAAATGATTGTGTGTGTCAATGAGTATGTGTGTGTCTGTCTGTGTGTGTCAGTGAGTGTGTATCTGTCTGTGTGTCAGTCAGTGTGTGTCTGTCTGTCAGTGAGTGTCTGTGTATGTGTGTGTGTGTGTCAGTCAGTGAGTGTGTGTGTCAGTGAGTGTGTCGGTAAGTGTTGCAATGGCCGCGGCTGGACTGTGGAGGAACTGGAGGTGCACAGAGGCACGCAAGGCCACGTCACATTCTAACATGATGTCGACGTGCTCCACCTTCACAGGGTTTCAAGAAGTAGCGGTAGGATCCGCTTTAGCACAGGGTGCGGACGGTGCCATTTGGGGTATACCAGAGGCCAGACTCCGGAGTCGCATACTGGCAGTGGCAATGTCTGCTTGCTGGCTAGAGGGGTACTGGGATTTAGCAGAGGAGGGTATATCGGGGGGACTGGGATTTAATATAGGGGGAGGGGACTGGGATTTAGTAGAGAGGGTGCTGGGGTTTAGTAGAGGGGGTGCTGTTTTTTTCTTTTATACTGTACTTTTCAAAATAAACCTGCGTTATGAAAATTTAAGTTTTTTTTTTTTTTGCAAACCACATAAACTTAAACTTTGTTTATTTGACCATGCTAGACTTTGAGTTTGAAATGCTTGATTTAGACAAACCACTCCAAACATATCTTTGCACAAGTCTGCTGGAAAATAGACAAACTGTGTGAACTCATTTCAAAGGTTATTGTGCTTTGCAATTTAAATGGCTTGTGTCTGAGGTCACATTCCCACTTAGCACTACTGAACCTTGTATTTCTGCACAAGCAATAAGTGCAAAGTAATATGGAGGTAACAGTATTTCAAGTGCAGACTCAGTATTCTAGTAAATCAGATTGCCACATATCAAAACTCAAATCTTGTTGGTTGGAGGTATGGAAGTGGACCACGGACCTAGGCGAGAGAGTACCCACATCCTTGTCCCAGTGAATTATATCATGAGTAATGCTATCAGCCAAAAGCCTATCACCTCATCTAATTCAATCCCCTGTCACACTCTTAGCATATTCTTAGTGTCTTCCTTTGAACACATATGTCTCATAGGGATATAAATTAGATTATGACTTAACTAAATTAAATGGAAAACATTATTAAATCCTTAAACTAACGCTGACCCTAACATTTTTTCTCTCTAGATACATATAAAATACATATTACACTTTTATGACCTGCATTTAAAAAATACCTTGATTCTCCTCATCATGGCACTCGACCCTACTCACCTGCTCCTGGGTGCCAGCTGCGTCCTAGAGGCGTTCCAGAAACAATGATGCAAATAAATATGTCTCTGAGGCCCTGCACCATTTATATAGACTCATAGTGCTCCAACTACAGGTGGGAGTACATTGATCATGTGACTGCCAACCTATTTAATCCCAGAGCAAATCCTAAACAGTGTATGGTTGTTCTAAACTCCCTGTTCTTGATTCAAGACACCTTGTGATTCTTCTGTTTCCTGACCTGTCTCTCTCCTGATTGATTTCCTGGTTCTTGACTCCGGATTCCCTCCTGACCATGCTTTCTTGACACCTGCCCTGACCTTTGGACATCCTGACTTCACCTTTTGACTCCTGCCTCTTGGATTCCGCTGCCTATTACCCTTTGTTACTATGTTTATTAAAGTGCCACTACTGTGATGAACTGAACCTTGTCAGGAGTTCTTGGAGGGGAGTGCTAGTCAGCCTCTTACCTCAGGTGTATGGCCCCTGGTTCAGGACTGTTAAAAGGCTCTGTTCGTACCTCTAAATCACCAGATTCGGTATATGAGATGTACCGAATGGATTGAACTTGTGCTGTTCGTTAAACGAACAAACTCCCGAACAGTGGGACCACCCATAAGTTGAGTGTGCAGCTCATTAATCCCATTGACTTATGATTAACCGTAAATTAATTGGTGATCGGCTGGGTGGTCGTCGTTCGTATTGCTGAACACGTGGCGGCGGCCATCTTTAGCCTCGAACGCATAAAGCGGTGTTTGGTCGTCGAGTGCATGGAGCGCAAATTAGGCACTCGGCGGCGCGAACACCGCTGGGACTTCCACCTCCAGTTAAGTTTGGTTATATTCGTCCTTGAAGAGCTTCAGGTGGAAACACACTACCGAACAAGGGACACAGTCTAAGTGTACATACAAACTGTTTGCGTTTGTACTTTTATTGTACTTCGTATCGACCACACAACCCAATTTCATGCAACTCTTTTGGGCAGGAGCCTCATGTGCGGTCGGTCACACTATATCTTCCAAGGAAATCCCTAACCCCTGAACCGATCTGGGTGATTTTTGTATATGTTGGTCCCCCAGATCATGGCTATCAGGAGATGTGACTGTGGAGTTTCTATGTGTTTTGGGTGATGTTGTTAAAATCTATGTTTTCTGTGCCTGGAGATAATTGAGTTTAGTGAAGTTCCTGACTCAATTATTTTTCAGGCACAGGGGAGGGATTACCCTGTTTTGTGTGGGAGCTGGACCTGAGAGCCAATGTAATTATGTGTATGTTTTACTGTAGTCTCCTCTCAGGGGAAAACCCCTGAAATATGTATACAGAAACCCCTTTTGGGAAGTTGCATATAAGGCTGCATGTGGCTCTCATTAAACCAGTTCTATTCTACCCTCAACACAGAGCCTCATCTTGTGCCTGTAGGGAACAGCTATAACAGCTATATCACTAGCTTTTGTAAGAGCTATCCTGCTATATGCTCTGGAGGAGGAGAGGTCTACCTAGTGGAAGCTGGATGCCTAACTTAGGTCCAGGGTGGGTGGAGGACAGCGAAACCCCAGCCAAGCTGCGGCAGCTAAGGGTCTACAGTGCTGAAGGTGTCCAGTGCTGTGATTATGGTACTCAAGGCATACCAGGAAGCAGCGATAGGCAGAGGCACCCACCCAGGCGGTCCATCACATGACCTATCAGGGCTCTATTCTCACTTCCAGGTGCTCCTGAGGGTTGTGATTATAAGGGAGTGCAACTGAGTTTCTTATCACTCCTCAAAGGTGAGCAAAGTGTCACTTTGATGCAGAACTTTTTTGGTGTCCTGTGGGTGTGGCTAAATTAACCTAATGGCCACACACTTTTCCATACTCACCACTTACCCACTAAAAGGCTGGATAAACATCTAATCTGGAAATGCAGACAGTGGCAGAAGATCCCAGGAAGGAGATAACCATCTAGTCTTGCTTTATCTGGGACAGCATATCTCCAGGATCTGCTGTCTTCAGGGGCAGAGGGGGACATCACAGATTTGCAAGATTTTTATATTTTAACTTTTTGCATTTATTTAATTTCTGTTTGCACGGAGCTCAATTCCATTCAGTTTTCTATATTATTCACAATGGGATGTAGCCAACATCTACTTGTCTTCAAATTATTCTGTAACAGTCATTGTAGATTATCCATTAACTGAATCACTAAATTAGATTTGTGCAATGCAAAAAAAAAAAAACGTTTTGGCCGAATCACTTTGTCTGAAAAAAAAAAAATACTTCAGGTAGCTGATTTTGGGGCCATATGGAGGTACAGCGCCTCAAAATTTGTTAACAAAAAAAAAGACTTGGAAGATGAACGAGACAAACCAAAATGGCATGAAAATATTGTATATAATATATACTATGTATATATTTTGCAGTACATCCGTTTTTTTCAAAATCACATGCTCAAATGACCATGCTCATCCATTGCGCAATTCGGGAATTTGTACAATCATCCTATCAGTCAACATTTGCATAAATTAGAGTTCATAACTAAATATATCTCCAAGTCTACTTTACATCTATTTTACAGTTTGTAATCAAATGTTGTTTGGGTTAAAAACTTCAAATGGAAAAACATCACATAAAGCCTTTATTATTCGATTAAACCGATAAAGGAATGTAAAAGTTTAAATTAGTGCTGTAAAAGGGAATTTGGGGCACAGCCGGAACATACATCTTATATGAACGGTGCTGCCAAAGAGACCTAAATGTATACATAATACAGATTAAGGAACAGCGCACGCATAAAAAAAACATGTCTAAATTCTGTAAAACCACTCAAAATCACCACTCAGTAAACAAACATTGGGGATTCAGTTCCACCATGTGGCCATATTGTGCCAAGCCCACCACTACTTCACAGTACCCCAATATCGGTGGGTCCTACACTAATTCCAATGTGGGAGACAAATTAAATACGGTTAGTGCCAAAGAAGCTGAAGTATATTTAACTCTGTTGTAAGAGCATTGGGAATATATGTAATGCAAAATTAATGTGATAAACACAATTTAAAAACTAAGCAATTAGGCAGGGCCAGGCCACTGACTGAGCAGGACGCAGGTTGAGGAAGCTCCTCGGCCTAAATACTTTTCAAAGCGAAAAAAAAAAAAAGGACAACCTACCCCCTAATTCCTCCTGACATGGGCATGCATTGATGGGGGAGTATATGGGCAACCTATGGGGGTGAAACCTCTATGGCAGAGCGCACTCTTGAAGATGAGGGCTCCTTGCGGCCTGCAAATTCCTACAGGGCGGGGGATGCGGACGGTCCCCCGTCCATGATCCACCTCGTGGACAGCTTGGGTCCCGCTTTCCCCCCCTCTGGGCTGCTGGGGATTATCCCAGCCCCACCTGGGCTACATGCTGAGGCCCCCCGACATGGTGGGAGATGCCGCAACAACAAATTGAGCGTCGAGCGGCAGAACACAAAATGGCGGATGCACCTGCGCCTGTGATACGGTACCCAGTGCCGCTTCAAACGGACCTCATGGACCACTTTAGCCACATTGAAGAGCGTCTGGAAGCAGCCTTCAACCGCTTTTGTGCAACCTTAATGGAACGGATGAAGCGGGCACCCCCTGCAAAACTACCATGGGTGAGAGAGCAGACACGCGGCGGAACAAGGCACAAGAAACCCTCCAAAGCCAAACCAACCTCAATGTCAGCAAAACATCCCACCTTGGGCCTCCCCGGGTCTTGACCCACCTGGAGATTACCCCCAAAGCACCGAACACACAAGCAGAGAGGACCAACACCCAGACACCTGCCCCAAAACGGCAAAGCCACCTACAAACCCCTGGATGAGTGGAACTGGGACTCAGGGAACCTCCAAGCTCACAGCAAAATGGTGCAGGCCCTGGAACTAGCCTGGGGTATGGCTGAAAAACCCTGAAACGCAGCATGGCTCACGCCTGTGGACAGTGCACATGTGGAAGCTGGGTGCCCAGCCAATGTATCGGCTGACTCTCCAACTATAGGAGCTGGCTGTTAATTAAGCTAAGTCTGACAGGGACTCTAACCCAGGCTGTAACAGACCCAGCATCATACAAGCGACTTATTATTTGGTTTAATACTGTTATTACTACGTTTTTATTAGCCTGTCTTACTCATTTTGGTTACACATCCCTATCAATCTGCCTAGGATTTCTATAGCCTAGTATCACTCGCTAAGCATAACACATACCCTAGTCTCTCCTACCACTGCTCCACTTTGTGGCATTAATATCACTATTGCCAACTTAGTAAAACTCGTGGGCACAGCGCCCTTACTCAGCATTACAATAAGCTCCCAGTGCATCTGAGCCTCCTGTTATGATAGATAGGCAGTTATACTCAATCTGCTCTACCATACCAGCATTACTTGTCGGCAACTCCTATTGTTTTACCTGGTTCACTCCAAAGGCCCAGTTTATTTGTTTGTCCTGCCATCTTAAGCGCAGTCTAACTAATGAGACATCAGTACCTAGCCTGTATTACTCTCGTTTTAACACTATCGACTTAAATTTTAAATTGTGCATGTATGCTGGACTACCCCATTGGTATATCTGTTACAAAATTGCTTGAGGATTGCCATCAGGGTACCTCACGCACCTATGTTATTCTCGATATGTACTACAAAAGTAAAGAATTAAAAAAAAAAAAACTAAGCAATTAAAGTGATAGTGCTTTGATGTATAATCTCGCAATGCAAATTATATATCTGCTCAATGAGATAGGTGATTTTAAGTAGTCTTATTGAATTTAGAAATGTATAATCATCTGTGCGCTGTTCCTTAATATTGTGCTGTGTCAAATTGAGCTGCATACCGCAACTCAGGATAATTCAAAAAGAATATTAAAGAAGTATTGTTATTACATCAGATATTTAAAAGCATCCTGATCAGGGTCAAATGCTGAAAGCAAACAAAAAGAGTGTATGAGATACTTAAGAAGAGGAATATTGTTCTGGTTTTATTCTCTTTTCTGCCTTTTCTTTCATCTACAGAGTTCATTTAGTTATAATTAAGTTTTTTTCAACAAAATGAATTGGTTCTAAGCATAAAGATTTGGCCAAGTATAAATGTATTCCAGAATGTTTTGTATGGTTTTCATTCAATGTGTACCCAATTTGCCATCTCTGAAGTAAACAACATTCCAAAGCAAAAAAATTTAAATGATTAAAATACCATAACAGATACTATGACTAAATACCATGACTAATATCCCCTTTGCTTTTATTGTTGTTATAATGTGGCTTTCTGTGCTTGCCAATTAGTATTGCATATATAGCCATATGTAAATGAATCTTCTTATCTGCGAAAGGTTTGGCTTTGGGTTCAAAACCCCCATCTGATACAATGGACCCTGCTGCGAGTATTTAATTAAAAAAGTAATATTTATGAAAAACTTGAATTGACTGCATTGGTATTTAAAGAATCACTAAAGTCATCTAGGCCACCTCATCTCAATGAAATTACTTGGGTGCAGTGGTCTTTTAGTTTTATATCTGCATTGTAAAACATTGCAGTTTTTTTTTTAGAAAGTTACATTGCCCACCAATAAAGGCTGTCTTTCTAACAGTACCGTAAAACTTAGTCACATGTTGTGGAAGTCCCCTTAGAAAGTCATTGTTTCAATGCTTCCTATGGTGAAGCTTGGATGCACGTGCAATGCTCAGTATGCATGTCCATCAGGTCCCCATTGGTTTGAACCATACTGGAAGAGGTTATGCTTCATCATGATGTCATGGAAGAAGTGGAGCAATAAGGCTCCCTTGGTGCTGGAAAAAGGTAAGTATATCATCTATTTATTCATTTTTATGGCTAATGGGAAGTGAACATCTGGAACATCTCCAGACAGGAACACAAAAGTGTTAGGGATACAGGTTTATATTCCAAATGCTTTAGTGTTCCTTTAACAGCACAAAAATATACCTCGTGGTTCACACACACACATACACATACACACATCAAATGCACTTCACATTTACACATAAGCAAACCTCTGTTAATACATTTGTATTACACACTGAATGCAACTCCTCCTTTACTCACACTGGCACTTCATACAAATATATTTTTGAATCTTGGCATCCACATAAGTATAAATGGGAACTGCAATTCTTCTGTATTTGAGCCAGTCAGGTGATCAATGCAGCCGAATCTCAAACCAAATGGAATGCACAATATGCAAGCATATTTGTTTTGATTTGTAATTTAGAAAAATGATTGATTGGAAAAAAGATGATTGGTGGCTAGAGGATAGCCACTAAATATTGAGTTTATTTATAACTCAAGTGAGAAGTGAACAATAGAGGGAAAAGTAGGATTTAAAAAACCATCTATATTATGATTCCATAACCAAAAATTCCATAGCTCCAAAATGCTATATAGACAAATCATAAAACAAATGATAAAAAACAATGCACAAACAGATTTGTTTGTTTCATGATTCAGAGATCCATCCATTGCGCCAATAATAAAGATGATTTATGGAAAAAAAGATGATTGATATTGAGGGGGGCAGCCAGTAAATACTGGGAAGAAAATGGAAAAAAGGAGGTGCAGTAAAAAAAGAAAAATCAGTATACTACAAATATATACAGAATATTTTACTATATATAGCAGAACATGTATTCATACTTACGTTAATTTTCCTTTCCTTGTCATAGGCCATGGCAGCACAACAATGGGTAGCTCCTCCCAGGTAGACAGAAACCTAATTAAAACAAAGGTATCAGTACCCCCTCCGATCTCTAGGTTCTTAGTCTAAGTTCCAAAGCAAAGTCCCAAGGGTGGGATCTTTGTGCTGCCATGGCCTGTGAACAGGAAAGTAAATTTACGGTAAGTATGATTGAATTTTCTGATTTCCTGGCTATATTAATGGCAGCACAACAATGGGTAATACCCAGCCTTAAACTGAGGGAGGGAAATAAACACATCAAACCCAATTAAATGCAAAATCAAAGTGTATTGAAACATCACACGTGAATTCATCATACCAAATTTTTTAGACAGAAAGAACACTTTTTTCAAATTTATCAAATTGTGCAGCTCTCACGTCCAGCTGGTAATGTTTAATAAAGGTATTGCTAGATGACCATGTAGCTGCATTACAGATCATCTCTGGAGAAGCTTTTGCTGCTGCAACCCAAGATGAAGAAAGTGATCTTGTAGAACAGGCTTTTAGACCTTTAGGAACCGGTTTCTTAGATAAGATTGAATTATGGCAGAAACAAATTGATCTGCTTAAAGCATTTTTAGATGCCTGGAGTACTTTCCTTGTTCTATAAGGTATAACAAAAAGACCTTCTGAACAAGTTCAAGCACAAGATCTTTCAATATATAGCAAGTCCAATATATACCAAGTCCAAGTCCAAGCACAAGATCTTTCAATATATACCAAGTCCAATGGTTGAAGGTCTGATGGCTGATCTTTATTCTATTGAAAGGAATACAAAGCTTGAAGAATTATTTCCTCATTCAGATGGAAAAGAGATGTGACTTTGGGTCTGAATTCTGGAACTGTACCTCAAGTCACTCTGTCGTGATGAAAAATCATAAAGGGCTGATCTCGAGAGAGCCTGTAGTTCTGAGACTCTTCTACCTGAAGCTAGGGCTACCAGGAGCACTGTTTTAATCATGAGAATATGAGGGGAAATGGTTTCTAGTGGCCCAAAAGGATCTGACTTTTGAGATTTTAAAACCAACGGTAGATCCCATGGAGGATTAACAGGTTTTATCAGAGGATGAATATTGAGTACTGCTGCTAAAAAAATTTTGTCCCAGTATTGTGAATTTCAACTCCTTTGGGTTTGGCACAAAGTAAAAAAGGCATCCCAGACTCGATAATAGGTGGAAGAGGTAGTTTCCTTTACTGCAACATAGTATTTACCACAGCAGGAGAAAATCCTTTGTTATTTAGCCTTTGCCTTTCAATATCCATGCCCTCAAGTTTAGAGACTATGGATTTGGATGAAACACCGGGCCTTGATGAAGAAGGGATAGATTCTGAGGAAGTTCTCATGGAAGTTAAAGGCATAGGCTCTGCAGAAGGGGAAACCAAGGTTGGCGAGGCCAAAAAGGAGCTATTCGGATAACAGTCAACTGTTTCCTGACAGAGTTTCCTTTGGAATGGAGCTAGTAGAGGAAATTGAGGAAAGGCGTAACCAAGATCAAAGTGCCAGTCGCTGGACAGGGCATCTCTTCCTGTTGCTTGGGAGTTGAAAGAAAAGTATTTTGGAACCTTGTTGTTCTTGTTGCTGGCCATCAGATTTACCTGAGGTAGTCCCTATCTGTTCACTATTTCTTGAAAGATCTTGTTGGAAAGAGACCACTCTCCTGGGTCTAGCTTTACTCTGCTCAGGAAGTCAGCTACTACATTGTCTGGGCCTGGTAGATGAACCGTTACCAGTCCCTGGAGATTCTTCTGAACCCAGGACATCATAGGATTCAAGATCCTCATTAGGCTTTGGCTCTGTGTGCCCCCTTGGTGATTTATATATGCCACGACTGTAGCATTGTCAACTTGTACCTTTACCCATTTCTTGAAGAGGCCCTTCCAGAATTTCCTTAGGGCTTTGAAAACTGCTAGAATTTCCAGAAGGTTTGACAGAAAACTCTTGGCAGAAGCCTTCCATTCTCCTTGGGCTACCTGTTGTAGATGCGCTTCCCAACCCCAATGGCTGGCATCTAGTGAGGATTATCCATGGAACCTCTCCCAGGGGAAAACCTCTGTAAATGTTCTTGTCGAATAGCTATCATAGAAGGGAAAGACAGATTTTGTGGGAAAGTCTGATGGGTTGGTGTAGATTGCCTGTCTTGTATTGTGCCAAGAAAACTTTTTTTTTTTTAGTGGCCTCATTCACATTGGGCCCATCTTGTTAGTCCCTTTAAAGTATTGAAGACAGCCCTCAGTTAAATCATCTTCTGAGACAGTATTAGATGACTTTTGGGAATATTTATCTTTCACCCGTGTTCTAAAAGGGTCTTTATACAAATGTGGCCGTGAGTGATGATCGATTGTTCGTCGTCTGCCAGGATCAGTATATCGTCCAGATAGTGGTAAATCGAGATGTCTCTTATCCTTAACTCTGCAATGAGGACAACCAATATTTTTTTTAAACTATGTGGGGGGGGGGGCAGTGTTTCATACGAAAGGTGGAGTACCATTGAACTCGAGGAAGTTGCCTCTTGCGATGATGCTCATGACCCATCTGTCTTGAACCGCTTTCTCCCAAACATGATGAAAATGGAGCAGATGATCTCCTACTCCTCCAGTTTGAGAGAGAAGACCATCATAATGACCTTGAGCTTTTGGTTGGGGCTGAACCTCTGGACCTGTTACCTTTCCAGTTTTGGGAACACCCGTACTCTCTGTTAGGTCGATAAGCTCTGTTATCATGAAAGGAGGAGCTCTCTCTGTATCTTCTGTTCCTGTTTTGGGTCTGTGATCTTGGGGTAGAAATGCTCTTCTCCCTTCTGCAACATGTTTGATGAAATCATCTAAGTGCTTACCAAAAAGCATTTCACCTTCAAATGGAAGGGAGCATAGACTGTGTTTGGATGAAGAATCAGCTGCCCAAAGGGCCTTACTGGCCAAGACAGATAATACTATATTTCTTGCTAAAGGTCTTACCATGTCTACTAATGCTTCTGATATAAAATCCACAGCCAGTTTAACATCTTGAAGATTGTCTATAATAGAGGATCTGCTTCTCCATTTCTCAGATCCTCTTCAATATCCTTTAGCCATATCTTGAGAGCTCGGGATACAGAAGTAAGGTCTATAGAGGGGTGGAGTCCAATGCCTGCTGCTACACGAGCTTTGGCCAAATTGAGATCCATTTTGCGATCCATGGAATCTCTGAGGAAGGCAGAATTGTCCACTGGTAAAGTGGTGCGTTTAGACAATGTCACTATGGCCTCTGTGTCCCAGGCCGCAGAATCTGATGATTCAAAAGGGTATAGACAGTTAATTCTTCTTTGAGGTGCAAGTTTTTTATCCGTCTTAGTCCATTCCTGAAGTATAAGTTCATTAATGGTTTCATGAACTGGAAATGGCAACACAAGACATTCTCCAGGCACTCAAGGTGTTGAAGCCGCAGGCAGTTTTAATGTAAAAAAAAAAGAACAGCTGTTCTTTTTTGTTCAATTAAAACTGCCTACGGCTTTAACACCTTAAGTGCCTGGAGAATTTCTTGTGTTGCCTTATCATTGTGGGATTGCTGGTCCTGCTCCAGAATTTACCTGAACTGAAATGTCACATGTACGAATCCCGAATTGACCGAAACAATTTTTTTTTTGCCATGTACAAGTCTAACAAACAATTGTGTACATTTAAACATGAGTATTTTATCAAGTGTGATCAGCACCTAAGTTTACCTGAGGCATAGATAGCTCACATGTTCTTGGAGTATGATTTTCGAGCTCACAAATTTACCAACCTTAATTAATTAATTATATATATATTTTTAAATTGTCTCATTTGGTAAATAAAAAAAACAGTGATATTGTGTCTATTTGACTGGTTTTGTTTATAGTAGTGTTTTCACACAAAACCAATTGTGCTAGTATGATTTAGTGTACAATTATACTCATTACAGTTAGCAACCACACATGCTACAATGAGAAGATTATCTATGCATCGCCTTTAGAAAGCATTGGAAAAGCTGTACAACTTAACTTTAGCATGTGGTCTTGATATATTTACAAGTTAAAACATACATTAAAATAGCTCCTCATAAAGCCTTTGCTGCAAGAAGAAAAAATATGTCTGGCAGACATTGGAATATCAGAGCCACGTCAGCAAACATATACGTACACTGCCTTGCATACGTTTTTGCCTATCTTAGATATTTAAAAAAAAAATGGAATTCAAAATTGATTTTACTAGAATTTGTTTTTCACAACATGCTTAACATTTTGAAAGAGCTATATATATATTTTTACAGTGGCAAAAAAGTCAAATAATGAACATAGTTTGATTTGTTGCTCAAGTATTCACCTTCTTTGCTATGAAAATATACTATAAGCATGGCCAATAATTAGTAAAAGAAAGTCCACAGCTTAAATCACGTGTACCTGTTGATGAACAGAACATGAAAAGGGTAGTCCTGTAGTATGTAGAATTCAGAAGAAGGTGTATAAGATTAAATAATTAGATAATGAAAAAATCTGCAGAATATGCATTATACATACTGCAAGGCAATCATTTTCATAAATATGACAAGATAATGTGTGTACCTAAAAACACAGGGAATATGGTAATCCTAGCTATAGTATATACCTGAGGGAAGGAGGGTGTGTGAGTACCCCCACCAGCCTGTACCATTATGTGAGCTGAACACAAGATCAGACACAAAATGGGTTTAATTTAGGGAGATCATGCCAAACTAATCTTATTGATTTTTTTGATTAACTAAAATAATAGATCAGGGTGGTGCAGTAGGCATTGCTTACCTAGATTTCAGTAAGGCTTTTGACACTGTTGCACATAGAAGGCTTATCAATAAACTGCAATCTTTAAGTTTGGATTCCAAAATAGTTGAATGGGTAAGGCAGTGACTGAGTGACAGGCAACAGAGGGTTGTAGTCAATGGAGTATTGTCAACAGTGGGGTACCTCAGGGATCTGAACTTGGATCCATTCTCTCTAATATTTTTATTAGTGATATTGCAGAAGGACTTGATGGTAAGGTATGTCTTTTTGCTGATGATACTAAGATATGTAACAGGGTTGATGTTCCAGGAGGGATAAGCCAAATGGCAAATGATTTAGGTTAGAAAAAAGGTCAGAGTTGTGGCAACTGACACTTAATGTGGATAAGTGCAAGATAATGCATCTTGGACGTAAAAACCCAAGGGCAGAGTACAGAATATTTGATAGTCCTAACCTCAACAATTGAGGAAAGGGATTTAGGGGTGATTATTTCTGATGACTTAAAGGTAGGCAGACAATGTAATAGAGCAGCAGGAAATGCTAGCAGAATGCTTGGTTGTATAGGGAGAGATATTAGCAGTAGAAAGAGGGAAGTGCTCATGCCATTGTACAGAACACTGGTGGGACCTCACTTGGATTATTGTACGCAGTACTGGAGACCGTATCTCCAGAAGGATATTGATACTTTAGAGAGAGTTCAGAGAAGAGCTACTAAACTGGTTCAGGGATTGCAGGATAAAACTTAGAAGGAAAGGTTAAAGGATCTTAACATATATAGCTTAGAGGAAAGACGAGAGAGGGGGGATATGATAGAAATATTTAAATATATAAAGGGAATCAACACAATATAGGAGGAGACCATATTTAAAAGAAGAGAGGCTACCACAACAAGAGGACATAGTCTTAAATTAGAGGGGCAAAGGTTTAAAAATATCAGGAAGTATTACTTTACTGAGAGGGTAGTGGATGCATGGAATACTAGCTGCAGTGGTAGAGGTTAACACAGTGAAGGAGTTTAAGCATGCGTGGGATAGGCATAAGGCTATCCTAACTATGAGATTAGGCCAGGGACTAATGAAAGTATTTAGCAAATTGGGCAGACTAGATGGGCCAAATGGTTCTTATCTGCCGTCACATTCTATGTTTTTATAGTTTTAAGTATACAAAGTTGTGTTTCTAACAATGTAGTGTCCCTCTGCTTCCTCTGCCCCCTTGACCATGGGAATCAAAGGATTAAAAATCCCTTCAACACTTACCCAATTCCATCGCAGAGGTCCCTGGCTCTATCTCCGTTTCCTTCAACCGGCGAGTGCTGTGGCCATATTATGCCTTCCCCATTGTAATGCATTGAAACAATGCTTTCCTATGGGGTTTTGCAAGATGTTGTACATCTTCATGCAAATCGTGAGGACATCAAGTGTAGTTTCACAGAGTTAAACTCCACCATAGTACACACTTTTTCACATACACATTCCCTTATACTTTTTTTCCCCCTATTCTAATCCTTCTTCTCATACCATTAATGTTACCTGCTGATTTTCCCTATTAGTCATGTCCACCCCATCAAAACATGAACTTTACTTTTAGTTTAAATTCATGTTTTTTGTTTCTCCCATTTTTGTTCTTTTTCTTTTAGGAGAAGAAAAAAATAGGAAAGTAAAAGAGAGTGACAGGTGAGTAGAAGTAGGGCGCTTAGGTTAAAACAGGCAATTAGATTTGTTTGAATGTAAACCGTAAGTTTTAAGTATAGATAGGAAAAAAATATAAAAACACTTTCAAAATGTCACCATACAAGTTATTTAATAGGACTGAAGTGGTGAACATCACTATTTATATAGTTAATCAAATTTGATTAAATAATACCTGCGGGTTAAAAAGACTGTAAAAAGACCTCTGAGCGCATTTTTTTGTGTGTGTGCAATTATATATGGCATATATTGAAAATATATTGACTGCCTTATACTTTTAAACATAAATAGTCATAAAGGGTGGATAGCGAAACGTATGTAGACCTCCATATGAACTCAAAGAAACGGAAAAAAATATGCGTTCGGAATGATTAAAAACACATGTACCACCATATGAACTCAGAAATAGAGTATTCACGCAAACCAGGTATTGAAATTAGACTATGTAGCAGTTCCAGCAGCACCCTGTAAAATCTTTATGTTCAAGTTAGTGTTTCCTATGGTTTTATGATATGTCAATCACTCTCTTTACTAATAATGGGATAGCTAGGGTTGTCTGACCGCTGTCAGAAACTTCTTAGTTTGGTTTGAGCTCACTTAAGGAAGTTAAGAATTAACATGCATTTTTTTCACGTTCCACTTTTTGGAGATTTGGATGCTGTCTAATCTGTAGACCGGTGTAGGCAACCTTTTAGCAGCACTGTGCCGAAAGAAGATTGTGATGTCCCATAGCTGTTTTTTTTTTTAACATGAGGTGTACATGGTGCCATATTCTGCCTGTGTTATTTATACAGCAGTTGCTTTGTATCGTTGTATTTGTGCGTATATAAGCGAATGTATTGTATATGTTCGTGAGTAGTTTGTGGTATTGTGTACCTATGAATGTCGGCTGTGTATGGGGGCTGCTTGTGGAATTGTGTGTGTGGATGGATATGTCACATTGTGTGTTTGGTAGTGTGTGTATGTGTGGGGCATTGCATGTGAGAGACTGCATGTGGGGTTGTGTGCATGTATATGGAGTCAGTGGTGTTGAGTTTGTGCGGATTGTGTATTGTGTTTGTGTGTGAGCTCTTCATATTATTTGTATGACGGAAGGGTTATTCTGCAGCTCTGTGTATATCTAGCAGTGTGGGTGGCTTCCCTGAGTTCCTGTGGGGACCAGGCTGGCCATATACATGTCAAGGGCAGGAGCTGCATTAGCTGCCGAGGGCTGCTCTACTACAGTGTGGATTCCCATTCACAAGTGCAGGGAGGAAGTGATCTGAGATCACTTCCTCTACATGCTGCAATGCATAAATTGAGGAATGTCGTTCAACACCTTTTCGTATTAGCAGATATCTGAAGTTTTACTGGTACTCCTGATAGGCCAGAGCCTGTTTGGCTCTAGCAGCCTTGAGTGCCATGCAAAAGCACTTTGAGTGCTGTGCATGGAACACGTGCCATAGGTTTCCTACCCCTGCTGTAGTCAGTTCTCTATATTGCGGCAGGAGATTGTATTTTTGAAGTCTGAGATTTCTAAATTATATGGTAAACAAACTCAGGCTGGAACTGTTGCAAAGCCACTGCCACAGAGACATCCTAGGAATGGCAGATGGATTACTGTAGGATCTGGTAGACCTAGAATTTGGATAAAAGACATATTAAAAGGCTCTACATAATTAATTTTCTGCATTGTCAGAGTGAAATTGTGTTATGGAGACAATCTTAGACACCAAGTGTAGTGGTGTTGTGGAAACAGGCTCAGGAACTAAGTGTAGTGGTGTTGTAGAGACAGGCTCAGGCACAGAGTGTAGTGGTGTTGTAGAGACAGGCTCAGGCACAGAGTGTAGTGGTGTTGTGGAGACAGGCTCAGGCACAGCGTGTAGTGGTGTTGTGGAGACAGGCTCAGGCATTGAGTGTAGTGGTGTTGTGGAGACAGGCTCAGGCACTGAGTGTAGTAGTGTTGTGGAGACAGGCTCAGGCAATGAGTGTAGTGGTATTATGGAGACAGGCTTGGAGACTATGGTGAGGTCTGATAGAAAGCAGTTGTTGGGGGATTCTATCATAAGTGTTGTGGAGTTGGACAATA